CAATAGGAGACCCCAAACTGCTCCAAAATTTCATTAATTTATTTTACTGTAAACTTATCAGTTTTTATTTAAAGTTTTTAAATTTGGTTGCGCTCTTTTGCTCTTCTTGATCGGCGTCGCTTATTTTTAGTGTGCCCGTTCATTATTATTTACAATATCTCTTAAAACTAAATCGATTAATACTAGATTGCACTAAATATACTAAATAACATTATGCACTGGAATTACACAGCTTACATTCGGCCAATCCTGACTCTAGATCGACCTCGATCTTTACATATTTACTAACTACATAGTCAACTACAAGAATTAATTGTTTTCGTTCACGTTTGCACCCAAGGTTTAAGTCTGGCGGCTTCAAGAATGCCCTTGTAAGGAAGTTGGGTGAGCTGGCACTCTTCTATGTCGGTGACTTCATATCTATCATTCGGGAATACACGGTTGATTTTATAAGGACCACGATATTTCGGCGAGAATTTCTTACAAGATCCTGGAGTAACATCAACATTTCGGATAGCTACAAAATCGTTAACCTTATAACGGGGGTGTGCCTTATGTTTCAAAGCATATCGAAACTCATTCTGCTCTTGTGACCGTTTTATATTTTCACTAGCTTTTATCCTTTCGAAGGTAACATCACGCGGGTTAGAAAGGCTAAACTTCTCCTCAAGATACTCGGATAATTCGTCTACAATAGGTCCCCGTTGGTTGCTACCAAAAAGCAAAATACTAGGAGTCTTTCCGGTACTCTTCTGAACGAAATTATTGATTGCAAATTCAACTCGGTTGACCAACTTGTACCAATCGGATTGATTCAATGGTTCGGATAATTTACCTAACATCGGGGTTAACACTCGGTTTATGCGTTCCACCTGACCATTCGCCTGGGGGGCAGCGGTAGCAACTTTAATGTGCTCTATATTTCGCTCACTTAGGAAACTAGAAAACTCAAATGATGTAAAACAAGTACCACGATTCGAAATAATTCGTCGTGGTCGGCTATAATACTCAAAATATTTCAAAAGACTGGAATTAACTTCTTTGGTACTGGTAGAATTAACCGGGTACAATTTCACGAACTTGGTAAAAGCATCGATAGCAACTAACAGGTGTTTTCTTTTCGATTAACGAGATCTAACTGGTTTACGGAGTCACACGGACCTAGCGGTTTTTCATTATCGTACGGGCTCGAGGATCTAACGGTCTTCCGCGGATCTATCGGATTCATATGGCTAACGGATTCACGCGGATCTATCGGATTTATACGGCTAACGGATTCACACGTATCTATCGGTTTCAAAGGATTGTACGGGTATATCGGTTCTAAAACACTATCATGAAGGGATTTCGGCTTAGTCGGAAGCACACACGGATCGCAAATTTTATCTATCACGGTATCTAACAATTCGGTTTGTCGACTCAAGGCATCAACGTGCGTCATACTAGCACCGGGTCTATGTACAATAGAGTAGATATAATTTTCCAATTCTAAGGACCATCGTGCAATACGGGGATTTATGGATTTCTTACTTAACGTCTGAACAAGAGAATTACAATCGGTAACGATACGGAACGGCTTGTGTTCTAAATACACACGGAAACGCCGGAGAGAATATATTATCGCAAGGGTCTCAAGCTCAACTATGATAACGGGATTCGGCGGCAGTCGCTTTACGGGAGTAGAAAAAGACCGGATGTAACTTGCCATCATCTTGGCGCTGCATCAGCACAGCTCCAAACCCGTGGGAGCTCGCATCGGTATGCAGTTCGGTTTCGCTATTAGGGTTAAATAAGGAAAGAACGGGCGGACTTGACAATGCTTTCTTTAGGCTAGTAAAAGCTTCCATTTCCAGTTTTCCCATCGGGAACGGACCTCAATTTTTAAGCAGATCAGACAACGGTTTAGCAATACGTGAAAATGACGGAACAAACTTACGGAAGTATGAGAATAAGCCTAAACAAGAATGAAGGGACTTACAATTCAGAGGTTCAGGGTATTCACGAATGGCCTTTATGTCTGTCTCGTTTGGAAGAATACCATTCGTACAGACATTGTATCCTAAATAATCAATGCGGTTTTTTAGGAATACACTTTTCTTGTAATTAATTTCAAGACGGTTTTCATTAAGACGGTCTAATAATTTGGAAAGTAAAACAAGATGTTCTTCTACCGTACAAGTTGTGGGAGTCAGTATTTTCGGCCAAGTTGGCATTCCTAGTCAAGACATTACCCATGGTAATTAACATAAATAGCCCAGATGCAACCCTTCAGTAGCAAGAATCCGATCCTCGCTAGAATACCAAAAATACCATTTTTGTGGATTTTGGGGATTTTGTGCATCCTACATCCACTCTAGACGCCATGATTTCCTCCTCTTTGTCGAAAGCTTCTCCCGAGATCGGTTCGTTCCCTGCAAAAAGTGCTATAATTTTCAAACCCGTTCGCATCCACACATCCGCGTGTGAAATTCTAGGAATTTTGGTTGAGCAGTACGACCTCTTATCACTCCCAATATTGGTGGTAAGATTATTCGACGATATATTGGAAAAATCTAATTGTAATTCCCGGAAAACAGCAGTGACCAAACCCACGTGCAAATTCTCGGAATTGACAGAAGTTTTACAGTCCTCCCTCTGCGCACAGCAAGGAGCAGATGCCGCGTGCAGCGATTCATCAGCGGAACCATACATTTCTTCAGCGCCAGGCCATAATCGCCATTTGGGATTCTTATACCGCACACCGCGTGAAAGGAATCTGTCTTCTTTGCCACACCTGGATTAATTTCATCATCGGCAAACCATAAGCGGCTTCAAGGATCGCCGCAGTGAACCCCCGTGAGGTTTTGACCTTGCCAAGTCCGCACGACGATCTACAAGTCAGATCACGTTGCAGTTCGGGCGAAAAACGCACCGGCGCCGATTCGGCGTAATTCGGGCAAGACAGCGGAGGCGGACGCCGCATCCCAATTGGAATTTGAGTTCCAATTCTGGCTTCCAGTTAATTTTGGCCGGGACTGCCAACTCGTTTTTGTATCGCTAAAGCGATTGTAGTTTAATTTTCTTATTTTAAATATTTGTACGACGAGTTTCTAATTTAATTTACGATTCCTATTTAGCTTTTATACTTGCGTGTGTGCTTACGACATAGTATGACATATATACACCTAAATTAAATTATCCTACAGCGCACATCGATCGTCATCAGGCCTGCTGACTTCGTTGGAGAGTTCGTAAGTACGGCATAGCCGTAAATCATTTACATTCCTACATATATATTCATTCTTGTCTGAGCCCGCGCACTTTTGGTACCAACATATACATGTAATTTTTCCACATTCGCGTATTGATATAAATATTAAATAAGAATCGTTTGCAATTATATAATTTAACGTAATCCGCCTAAGTGATTTCCTGTAATTTTTGAATAAGCTTACCGCATATCGATAAAATATGTAATCAGTTTCGTAATAATTTAACGTAAACAAAATATCCATTTCTTTTCCTATTTGATAATCTTGTACTGACACTCGATCATATAGAGAGTCTGTTGGCGTATAGAACGCTTAGTCTTAAGGCTTTAGTGTTAGGATTTGTAGTATTAAGAACCATGAACCATATTATCGTGTTTGCCGTATTAAATGAAATTTAAGATGATCTAAGTTGTGATCTTTTGAGGGCACCTTAGAGGATGTAGCGCAGCGGTTGTTTTAAGGGTGGAGTCTAATGTGACTTCACAGGTAGGGTGGGTATAGAAGGTGGCCAATAACATCTGGGCCTCCGTCTTCGATAGGGACAGTCTCTCGTCCGAATCTTAGCCGATGGGTTAAAAATCCTTATCGTTACCGTCTCTCTGTCTACTATTGTTAGTTCTGTGACACTCTTGTTTCATCTTAACACAAACCCACACCCATCTCCCTGAGCAGGCCGGTCAAAGCGTAGACAGAGGTGTTAGGGTGGACAACGCTCATAGAGTGTGTTCGTTACAAAGTCGCCAGGATGATGTCATCCATATAAACATAAACCTGACATAAACGGCAGGGCCATTTTTTAGACCGAAAGGCATACGCAGGTATTCATAGTGTCCGTCAGGTGTTATAAATGCGGTGTATTTCACGGAATCGGGGTCCATACCGATTTGGTGGAATCCACTCTTTAAATCTACAACTGAAAAAACCTTTTTACTTTCGAGATATTCTAAGCAATCTTCGATCAATGGGGACGGAAAGTTATCTCTAATTGTTAATTTATTTAACGCTCGGCAATCGATGTACATGCGGATTTCTCCATTCTTTTTCTTGACAAGGACTATGGGAGATGCATAAGGGGACTGACTAGGTCTAATAATATTACTGGCTAACAACACGGCAACTGTTTTATTAACAACGTCTCTCTCTAAGTATGAAAATCTTCTCGGTGCACTATGAAACGGTGTAGAATCAGTTAATCGTATGCTCATTAAACATTTAGGCGACCCGTACGCGTTAGTTATATTATCCGAGTAATGCTTTATGATACTACTACATTCCTCAGCTGAAGAAACACCAAAATCGCGGCCTATATCTACATTATCAAGGTCAATAGACATAGCTCCACAAATGCTTTTCATATCAGAAAGCCAATCCGCGAGAGAATCATCAGGAACCAAGGGTGCATTCGGGCTTACAGAATCAATACTTAGTTTAAAGGGTTGCGTTTTGTCTAAAATTAATCTATTATTTATATCGCTAAGCAAGGATGCACAGAATGATTCATTAACGAAAGCAATACGATTATTTATTGAAATTAAATTTGATTCATTTCTTTCATGATTTCTTTTCACAAAAAGTTTAATATTGAGTAACTTAAGGGCGTCTCTGCCAAGGAGAAGCGCTGTAGGTAAGATGAGATCGTGAATAACGTATACTTCTAAATCGTGATACTTTTTCTCGAACAAAATTGAACAGGGTACTTTTCCGTACGTTGGTATTGATGTGCCACCAATTCCGCGAAAGGGACTTTTCTTTAGCTGATGATCTTTATTTAAATATGGATAGTATGACTTTCCCAAAAAGCTTATTGGGCTTCCGGTATCTAACAAAGCAAAAACATCTTAATCTTAAAATTACTAACTGAATAAACGGCTTTTCATCCATGGTTTCTTCAGCTTCTGGCAAGGTAAAGCCCACGGTGCGCTTGGGACACTGACGGTGCATATGGCCCACTTCAAAACAGATGAAGCATCCGTTGTCCGGTCTTTTCGGCTTCTTGTAATCTTTGGCGGTGTGCCCCATTTGTCGGCAGTTGTAGCATCTAGTGTCTTTTGGAATTACGGCTCCTGGGCGAGGGATCATGGTGACGGCTTTACGATTGGACTCCAGACGTACAGACTGGAATCGCATTAACTTTTGACGTAGCTCATCCAACGTGATACAATAGTAGAGTGGAGCAGCGCGTCCACTGTGTTCCTCTAGTCCATCGACGATGTACTTCACGACGTCTACTTCATCAAAGTTGCCTTGCTGGGCGATATTACGCATTGTTATGAAATACTGCATCAAGGTCTCGGACTTCCCAATTGTGCGTTTTTGCAGTTGTTTCGCAATTTCCTGGTTTGACATTCTGTTTCCAAAAACTTGGGTGAGCGTGGCGCTCATTTCTGGACAGGAAGACACCTTTTCGTACAGCATGTATTGCTTAGCTGATCCTCGGAGAAGACGGGTGCCAATAGATAGGCATTGTGTAACGCTTAGTTTATGAACCTCGGCAGCTTTTTCCAATTCACGGATCCAAACCTGGACCGACAGGTTGTCGTCTCCTGAAAACTCCGGGATCATGGCCTCCACATCCTTCAGATCGACTTGATGTATGGAAGCATTCGCTGTAGTCATGCCTTCCAATTCGGCGACTATCAATTTGAGTTCGGCTAGCTTCTTTCTAGCGGTGTACAGTTCCATCATCTGATTGATTTCCGACGTTTCGCGAGCCATTGAGCGAATGTTCTGCTCAATCTGTTCTTGCCTCGACATGTTCATAACGGTTTGCTGCGAACTTCCAGAAGGTTCCAATAACGGCGCCACAGCGTCGGCCATTTGCAATTTGTCACGGTCTTCGATCAGCGTTAGCATGCGGTTTGCAAGCTTCGGTGTGCTCGGGGAATCCTGCTCCTCATCTTGACCCTGGATCTCTGTGTCCTCGGCGTCCTCGATGTTAGCCTCCAGATTCCTTGCACGGTTTAACGCAGCACGGAGTTGGTAAATTGTTGCATCAGTCCCGAACATGATGCCCTTCTCGGAAAGGAGCTCCAGCAGCTCGTCTTTGGACATCTTAACAACCTCACTGTATGATAACATTGCGCAACATTTGGGCAAACCCCACACCTGATTTGTAAACTTATCAGTCTTTATTTAAAGTTTTTAAATTTGGTTGCGCTTTTTTGCTCTTCTTGATCGGCGTCGCTTATTTGTAGTGTGCCCGTTCATTATAATTTACAATATCTCTTAAAACTAAATCGATTAATACTAGATTGCACTAAATATACTAAATAACATTATGCACTGGAATCACACAGCTTACATTACAATATTCTTTTTTCGCAATTTCTCTGTTATAAATTTTGACAAAGTGGTTTTAAAATGTGCTGTTCGCGATCCCAAGGCATACCAGCAAATACCATACCACGCCCCCTTTAACGCCCACAAACTTCAAAAAATCGCAAATATGAACGCGGATATCTCGGAAACTATCAAAGATAGAGAATTGGGACTTCAGATTAAAGATTCCGTAGCCTTGTACGCAGCGCAAGTTTTTTTCACAAATATACCACGCCCACAAGCCGCCTAACCCTGTAGCGCCCACACTTTTCAAACTCTCTGGCATATGGATATAACCAAGACGTAAAGTGTGACCGCATACTAACAAAATACCACATATACCATTTTTATTTTAATCATTTTACTATAAGTATAAATTGGTACAATAGACGACCCCAAACTGCTCCAAAATTTCATTAATTTATTTTACAATATTCTTTTTTTGCAATTTCTCTGTTATAAATTTTGACAAAGTGGTTTTAAAATGTGATTTTCACGATCCCAAGGCATACCAGCAAATACCTGCAAGCCCTTTAATACCCGTTACTCGCAGAGTAAAAGGGTATACTAGATTCGTCGGAAAGTATGTAACAGGTAGAAGGAATCTGTTTCGAACCCATAAAGTATATATATTCTTAATCAGGATCACCAGCCGAGTCGATCTAGCCATGTCCGTCTGCCTGTCCGTCGGATGAGCTCTGCAATTTCGGAAACTGTACGAGCTAGGATATTGGGATTTGGCAAGCAGATTCTTGAGCTTCTTGCGCAGCGCAAGTTTGTTTCAGCAGGGTGCCACGCCCACTCTAACGCACACAAGCCGCCCAAAACTGTGGCTCCCACAGTTTCGATGGTAAATTAAACATTTTAATTGAATAAGTTTGCCACGCCCCCTTTAACTCCCACAAACTTCAAAAAATCGCAAATATGAACGCGGATATCTCGGAAACTATCAATTATAGAGAATTGGGACTCCAGATTAAAGATTCCGTAGCCTTGTACGCAGCGCAAGTTTGTTTCGCAAATATTTCACGCCCACAAGCCGCCTAAACCTGTAGCGCCCACAATTTTCATACTCTCTGGCATATGGATATAAACAAGACGTTAAGTGTGACCGAATACTAACAAAATACCACATGTGCCATTTCTTATTTTAATCGTTTTACAATAAGTATAAATTGGTACAATAGGCGACACCAAACTGCTCCAAAATTCCATAAATTTATTTTACAATATTCTTTTTTCGCAATTTCTCTGTTATAAATTTTGACAAAGTGGTTTTAAATTGTGCTGTTCGCGATCCCAAGGTATACCAGCAAATACCATACCAAGCTACACAAACGCCCACAAACTTCAAAAAATCGCAGGTATGAACGCGGATATCTCGGAAACTATCAAAGATAGAGATTTGGGACTTTAGATTAAAGATTCCGTAGCCTTGTACGCAGCGCAAGTTTTTTTTCACAAATATGCCACGCCCACAAGCCGCCTAACCCTGTAGCGCCCACAGTTTTCAAACTCTCTGGCATATGGATACAACCAAGACGTAAAGTGTGACCGCATACTAACAAAATACCACATGTACAATTTCTTATTTTAATCTTTTTACAATAAGTATAAATTGGTACAATAGACGACCCCAAACTGCTCCAAAATTCCATTAATTTATTTTACAATATTCTTCTTTTGCAATTTCTCTGTTATAAATTTTGACAAAGTGGTTTTAAAATGTGCTTTTCACGATCCCAAGGCATACCTGCAAGCCCTTTTATACCCGTTACTCGCAGAGTATACTAGATTCGTCGAAAAGTATGTAACAGGTAGAAGGAATCTGTTTTGACCGCAAAAAGTATATATATTCTTGATTAGGATCATTAGCCGAGTCAATCTAGCCATGTCCGTCTGTCTGTCCGTCTTTCCGTCGAATGAACGCTGTGATCTCGGAAACTATAAGAGCTAGGGTATTGGGATTTTGCATGCAGATTCCTGAGCTTCTTGCGCAGCGCAAGTTTGTTTCAGCAGGGTGCCACGCCCACTCTAACGCACACAAGCCGCCCAAAACAGTTTCGATGGTAGAATAAACATTTTAACTGAAATGTATTGTTCTCATCAATACCTTTCGATGGATCCAAAATAAAATTTTGGCACGCCCCCCTAAACGCCCACAAACTTAAAAAAATCGCAAATATGAACGCATTTATCTTGGAAACTATTACAGACAGGGAATTGGGATTTCAGATTTAGATTCCGTAGCCCTGTACGCACCGCAAGTTTGTTACGCGAATATGCCACACCCACTCTAACGCCTACAAATCGCCCACAAGCTTCAAAAAAACGCAAATATGAACGCGGATATCTCGGAAACTATCAAAGATAGAGAATTGGGACTTCAGATTAAAGATTCCGTAGCCTTGTACGCAGCGCAAGTTTTTTCGCAAATATGCCACGCCCACAAGCCGCATAAGGCATATGGATATAACCAAGACCTTAAGTGTGACCGCATACTGACAAAATACCACATGTACCATTTCTTATTTTAATCATTTTACAATAAGTATAAATTGGTACGATAGACGACCCCAAACTGCTCCAAAATTTCATTAATTTATTTTACAATATTATTTTTTTGCAATTTCTCTGTTATAAATTTTGACAAAGTGGTTTTAAAATGTGATTTTCCCGATCCCAAGGCATACCAGCAAATACCTGCAAGCCCTTTAATACCCGTTACTCGCAGAGTAAAAGGGTATACTAGATTCGTCGGAAAGTATGTAACAGGTAGAAGGAATCTGTTTCGAACCCATAAAGTATATATATTCTTAATCAGGATCACCAGCCGAGTAGATCTAGCCATGTCCGTCTGCCTGTCCGTCGGATGAGCTCTGCAATTTCGGAAACTGTACGAGCTAGGATATTGGGATTTGGCATGCAGATTCTTGAGCTTCTTGCGCAGCGCAAGTTTGTCTCAGCAGGGTGCCACGCCCACTCTAACGCACACAAGCCGCCCAAAACTGTGGCTCCCACAGTTTCGATGGTAGAATAAACATTTTAATTGAAATATATTGTTCTCATCAATACCCGAAGGACCCAAAAAATAAGTTTGCCACGCCCCCTTTAACGCCCACAAACTTCAAAAAATCGCAAATATGAACGCGGATACCTCGGAAACTATCAAAGACAGAGAATTGGGATTTCAGATTTAGATTCCGTAGCCCTGTACGCAACGCAAGTTTGTTACGCGAGTATGCCACACCCACTCTAACGCCTACAAATCGCCCACTAGTTTAAAAAATCGCAGGTATGAACGCGGATATCTCGGAAACTATCAAAGATAGAGAATTGGGACTTCAGATTAAAGATTCCGTAGCCCACAATTTTCATACTCTCTGGCATATGGATATAACCAAGACCTTAAGTGTGACCGCATACTAACTAAAATACCACATGTACCATTTCTTATTTTAACCATTTTACAATAAGTATAAATTGGTACAATAGACGACCCCAAACTGCTCCAAAATTCCATTAATTTTTTGTACAATATTCTAATTCTTGCAATTTCTCTGTTATATGTTTTGACAAAGTGGTTTTAAAATGTGCTTTTCACGATCCCAAGGCATACCAGCAAATACCTGCAAGCCCTTTTATACCCGTTACTCGCAGAGTAAAAGGGTATACTAGATTCGTCGAAAAGTATGTAACAGGTAGAAAGAATCTGTTTTGACCGCAAAAAGTTGTAATGAACAACGTTTACAATGGCAGCTGGAAAAACTTTCGATGCAACGCACGCTCTTATGTTTCGGCTGCGCTCGTCGGCTTGAGGGGATGGTATAGTGTTGCACCGAAAAATGCCTTAATGTTGTCAGCCTATCTTAAAATTAGCGTGCTGCGACAAAATATGCCCCACAGATACACATAGACATGCACTGTAAGACACAACTACAACCGGAGATAACGAAACTACGAACTGACACCTCATATGCACACACACATTCAAACATGACCACTGATGTTGTTGTGGTCAATGCCCACCCTACCTATAGCCGTTACATCCTGGGGAGACCTCTTCCCACGGCCCCTTCCACATTCCTACCGGTGCTGCCCCAGCCCGAGTTCAACTACAAAATCTCTTAGAAAATCATTATAATTTATTGCCTAACTGTAAAGTGAAACATTAAACATATAAACATTAGCATAGATGAACAAATAAATCTTAAAACATAAACGGGACGTTAAATAAAAAAAATACAAAAAAATAACATTTAATTAAACAATATTTTAAAGCTTTAATTGAGCCCTGGATTGCATTCGCAAATCGTAAATTTGTCGCGCAGCGACTGCAGTCAGCGCTGCCAAAAGAAACTACACGCAGAATATATCAAAGCAAATTAAATCAAAACAACAAAAGCATTTGTGGATCTGATAGAACCAAAACTACAAACATAAAAATCCCTCGGCAATGGCCGGGATGCGATACCAGGCGCGCATGCGCGACTGCTAGCGAGCTCTGACGCCGCTGCTTGTGCGCCCAAGTGGTGGTAAGGGGGAAAGGGAGGGATGCTAGCGGGCGACTACGTTCTTATCTTCTTTTCATTTACTTCTCGCGTTTCTTTGCGACGGTGCGCTCTAGTTTGCCCTGCGGGGTTTTTTTTTGCGAATATTTCGCCGTTCGCGTTTAGGTGTTTAAATTAAATGAAAGTTTAACTCACGTAAAGTTGTGCCGCATCCTCCGATGAAAGCGATTCCAAAGAGGTTGCCGCACCTGTGAATATATTGGAAAATATCGCCCTCCTAACAAACCTCGCGCATAATCTTTGTTGTTCGTTTTGTTCGTCTATATGACCGACTGTTCTTTTGTGTTTCTTGGAGTTATTGGACTCAGGTTTAAATAAAAATAATGACAATAAAAATAAAGTGCATTTAACTAATCATGTTGACCTTCTTCAGGTGGTCAGGAATATTAATTGGTGGATTTCAGTGTTTTCATCACATTAAGGAAAAGCACAGTGTGCTGCCCTGTGGAACGCCGCGTTTGAGGGAAAACCTCGATACGGCCTTGCCGCTGGCGGCTGATCCAAAAAAAAACGCTTGCGCTAAACAAACAAATGCGCCTGTGCAATTCTCTTTGTTGATTGGCGCTTAGAAGCGCCGTGGTTTGCTTGCGCCAACTCTTGGGTGTGGTTGCCACAATCCAGGCTCGCCGCCGTGGTAGAGCTACCCTCTTTGGCAATACTCGTCGTGGTGCTCCGAGATCGCTCTTCCGCGTCGCTGTCGCTTGCCGCTGCGCCACAAAGTCAAAGTTAAACCCAAACTGGGAGGAAATGCCTAACTCACCCTTTGAGCCACTGCTGTTGCAAGGGGCTTGAATCACTCCTCACGGGATTAAGTTCGAAATGTCTAAGCTGCAAAAGGTGCAAATTAGCATTTGAAAAACCACAACTTTTTCACTTTCACCCACTTGAAATTGCACTTAGAGTCTCACTTGCTATGAGCGGCTGACGCCAGCGGACCGCCTTTTATACCCCCTGCAAGACGCCACCAAACCGCGATTCCACCACTCCGCCGTTTGCCCACAGAGAGGCGCGAAAATCTTTTTCTCCTTATTCTCGATCAGTCTCTCCTAGCAACTCACACAGCCACAGTTTTTCCGGACCTACTAGGAGCGCAGCATGTTGCCTTGTTTCTCCCAGATGTTCTTAAGAGACATGTTGCTAAGCATCCGCAAAAACATTGTTGCTAAGCAACCATAGGTGCTGGTCCAGGCTATCCGAAACCCAGATACATTACTGGTACACGCGCACTTACAAATACCCCCTGCCAAAATCAGACTGGGGATCACAGAGTAACCAGGACTGATCCCGCGTGTAGCCAGTTATTGCCGTATGTCTTTGGCATGATATTTGCCCAAAAATTTTCCCTGCATGTCTTCCAGAGCATAGTAAGTGTCACCCAACTTTTTCCTTACTCTTGGGGCAAGCTTGGCGTTGTAGCCCTCGGCAAAATTACTTTGCTTAAAATTCCTGCGGAAAACTTCTTGACCTTCGACAAAGTTCACTACTCTAGCCCTTAGATTATAATGCTGCTCATTATCCTCGTACTGTTGTTGCATAATTTCCCAGGCTCGACTGCGAACTACTTCAAGAGAGTCCTTTTGAATCAGGTTCAAAGAGCGATCTTCTAATAAATTCAACTTCCGTAGAAGCGTGTAAGAGGTTCCCGAGGTAATCATTTGCTGACCAAACGCCATATAGTACGGACTGGACCCTACACTGGAATGTACTGCTGATCTCAAAGCTCAGCATATATGTGACAAATACTTGTCCCAATCCTTCTGGTCTCCCTTGACATACGAGCGAATAGCCGCAACCACCGAACGATTTACTCGTTCTGCAGCATTCCCTTGCGGAGCATGCACTGCCGTAAAAGAGTGCGAGACATTATATTCATCTAAAAGTTTCTTGAATGTCTGTGACCGAAACTGAGAGCCATTGTCCGAGATTATAACCTCCGGAACGCCAAAAACGTGAAACAACTCTGTCTGTCCGCAGTAATCTTCTTCACAGGTTGCAAAAACACAAATTTGGACAAATGATCAAGGACTATAAATATGCCAATGTTTCCATTTCGAGATCTAGGGTAAGGTCCCAGAAAATCTATATAGAGCTTCTGGAAAAATCGTTCTGATTCTGACGGTTTGGCTAGTGGGGGACGTAGCGGATAATTGGGTGCTTTAGAAGCCTTACATGTCTGACACGAGTTCACATATTTCTTAACATCCGGAACTAGACCTGGCCAGAAATAGAACTGCCGAATTCGCTCAATAGTTTTGTGAATTCCCCCATGAGCTGCTAAAGGGTCATCATGCTCTTTTTTAAGGATCTCAGCCACTGCCTCTTTCGGAATCCACAGCTTCCAATTATACTTGTCGTGGACCGGCTCGCCCACTGCGTGCTCGGTTCGTCTAAAGACCCTACCATCCTGGACTTTTACATCCGGAAGCCGATCCTTGCAGTCTTCAATTCGTGCAATCAAGTCCAAATATTCGGGAGAGTTAAAATGCCTAGACTCCACATCAACTAGCCTTTCGTCCAAGCAGTTTAGCTCTTCTACTTCTTCCTCGTGTACCCTAGAAAGGACATCCGGGACGACATTCAACTTTCCACGCCTGTGTTCAATCTTGAAAGAGTAGCTCTGCAACTTCAACGCCCATCTTGCCAACCTTGAGCTTAAATCTGTCTGAGACATTAACCATTTCAACGAAGCATGGTCCGTGATTATGGTAAAATCGTGTCCTTCGACATATGCCCGAAAATTTTTTAAACAAACATTAGCTGCTAATGTTCCGTTACCGAGTAATTTTGTTGGGCCTTTTTAATTTCTTGGAAACAAAAGCGATGGGACATTCATCTCCTTCATCAGAAAGCTGAACCAAGACCCCTCCAACTCCTGTTTTGCTGGCATCGCAATGTATAAAAAAGGTTTTGAAAAATCAGCACTTTTAAGAATAGGGGCTTCGGTTAACCTTGTCTTCAAGTCCTCAAACGCCTTTAAAGCTTGTTCCGTAAATGCGAATTTTCGCTTTGGAGTAAGCAGATCCGTCAGCGGAGCCGTCAATGCCGCAAAGTTGCCTATAAATTTCCGATACCATCCGCATAGTCCTAAGAAGCTCCTCAAAGACCTGAGAGTCTTGGGCACGGGAAACTCAGTAATGGCGGCTATCTTCTCTGGATCCATTCGGATTCCGCCATCTCCCACTATATGCCCCAGGTATTTCACCCTTTTGGAGCAAAACTCGCTTTTTCCGATGTTAATCGTAAGTCCAGCTCGCTTTATGTGAAACGCTACCTCACGTAAAACCTCGAGATGCTTTTCCAAAGAGTCTGAGACAATTAGCAAATCATCTAAGTAGACAAATACTTCGTTACGCAGCTGAGGAGGTATAACTTTGTCCATTAGTCTGGACATGGTTTGCGTGGCGTTACAAAGCCCAAATGGCATAACTTTAAAATGGTAAAGCGGTCGTCCTGGCACCGTAAAAGCTGTCTTGTCCCTCGAATCTACCTCCAAGGGAACCTGCCAATAAGCGTCTTTTAAATCGAGGCTGGTTATAAATTCGGCTTTCGGCAATCGACTAAGTATCCCGCTAATCTGTGGAAGTGGATAGGCATCCTTTTCAGTAAGTGCATTTACCTTCCTGCTATCCAGACAGAGACGAAATTTTCCTGGCTTCTGCACTATGACTAAGGGCGAAGACCACGAACTATCAGATTCTTCTATCACTCCCAACTCAATCATTCGGTCTATTTCCGCATAAATTAACTTTTCCATCGCGGGAGACACAGGATAATGCCTCTGCTTCACAGGTTTAGCCGGACCTACATCAATCGAATGGGAAATTAAGTTGGTCTTACCCAGCCCTTCGTAAGCAAACGACGGAAACAAATTTACCACGTTTGATAGCTGCTTTTTCTCTGCCTCCGATAAGTCATGCTCTATAGCTTTCACATTTAATTCGGACACATTTGGTAAATTCGGCAGCAAGTCAAATTTGCGCCAAAAATCGATCCCTAAATATAAATCTTGTTTTAGCGTGGGGACAATGTATATATCTATATCTTCAGTCCTTCGGTCGTAGACCACTGGAAGACAAACTTTTCCCACAATTTCTTGCCTATTTCCGTCAGCAGTGCTCACTTTGGAATGTATTTTTTTGAATGGTATGCCCTCTTCTAAAAACTGCTGAGCTAAGCTGCCTCCTAAGCAGCTAACAGCCGCTCCCGAATCCAAAAGCCCTTTTACGAGTCGCTGAAGTAACAGCACTGCCACAAATGGACGCGGATCCTGGGAACAATCTTGTATAGAGTTTATTTCCCGAATATGCCCTCTCAATTGCCTTATCTCATTCCAAAAGCCTTGCATTCGTTGAGCGCTACGGGACTTAGTTTTTGTAGCCTCATCGAAATCTGCTTCATCATTTTCAAATCCATCTTCTTCGAATTCATTGCCTTCGGACTGAGATGAGTCAAATTCCTCATCTGATTGTCCTGAGCTAGAATCGTATTGCGCCTCTGTAGGACTCCCAACGTTTTCGCTTTCGCCGGAATCTAAGCTGGAGATTGGGGACGGTTTGGGGATGGTGGCTGCTGCTGAGCACGCAAAAGCTTCTGTTTGTGTGGCTGCATCTGCGTGCTCCCTGAGCGGTTTTTTGACAAGCACCTTGCACATTTAGGCCTAAGAGTGTTCGCCAAACCGCATCCAAAGCAAAACAGTCGTTGTTTTTCGACTAAGCAATTTTTATAAATATGCCCTTCTTTATGGCAATTCCAGCAGACCACGTTCAGCGCCTCTATTTCTCCATTAATTTCTACTTCACTGACTTCTTCTGTGCCAAAATCCTCATCTAATTCTGCCACATCTTTCTTGAACGGGACCCTCTTAGCGTATCCATGAGATCGCTTGACATCTTCTAAAAATGATTCCCTTTTGCGACATACTTCACGCAGGTGTGATACACAGGATATGTCAACATTTAGGATTTCATGGCGAATTTCTGGTCTCAAATTATTCCTCAAAATCCTCACCAACTTGCTATTTGACAAGGGCCTTTCCATTTCATCGAGAAAGACATTGATGGCATTGAAGAAACTATCAAAAGATTCATTGTTTTCCTGCTTCCTTTGCCTTATTAACTCTTCAATGTCTCCGTCATCCCTGTCATCCTTATACTGCTTACGCAAAGCTGAACATAAAGATTCCCAATTTATTTGCCTAACCGTTTTGTGGTGTCTCCAAAAGAAATCCTTCGCCTTCCCTTCAAAAAGTGAAGAGACATTCTTGCACATTAGCTCAAAATTTCCGTCTAGGGTTTCATTTGTCATGGCATCCACCTGATAAATGAAATTATCTACTGACAAACCCGTACCCGAAAATTTTAATTTCCAACCGTTCATAATCGGACCAACCTTATCCGGCCGCCTTAAGAGTTCCGAAGATAGACTTCCTGAATTTCTCTCAAAGGAAGAATTATTGGAATGATTACCCTGCCATGTCTCGGTATCGGGTTGTCTCACTCTATTGTCGGGATTGGAATTGTGGCTGGCGGGTGCCGAGTTAAAGCGTCGCAAGCAATTTTCTACATTGGCCTCAATTAACTGATTAAGTTTTTCAGTCAGTGCTGAGAGAATGTTGTTTTGCATGACTTGCAGCTGACCTTGAATTGTGGGCTGGTTTGTACTGGCTTGAGATGCGTTTGAGCATCCTGGAGTTTCCCTATCTGCTGTCGACAAACCGTTTCCGTCCATCTGACCTGGAGTCTTTGAAAGCACTTTGGTGACGCAGACAAAGTTGCAAATGGGGCATCTGGGATTGGCCGCAAAATGAGTTCTAATGCAATTTTTGTGAAAAGTGTGTTTGCATGGGGTTTTATAGGATTCCTCTTCTGATTTTATAGAACTATTACACAAGGGGCAGTTGCCTTTTCCTGGCCCTGGAGGTGGGTTATCATCCCGTTCTAGTCCCATTTTGAAAATATAATGATACTAAATAATTATAATATGATGGATATATAAGGGTTAAAAAAAATTAATGAAGACAATTTCTAAATATATGTGTTTTTAAAAGGTAATAATATAAAAGTATAAATTGGGCAAATAGTATTGTAATTAATGGGTAAATAGATTTAAATTTGATGAATTAACATAAAACATAAGAAATCTCACAAAAACTTTTAAAACCGACAATCAAAAACATAAAGTTGAACTCGTAGCCTAGCTTAGCTACCGGAAAAATGTGTGTCTTGAATGTGTGTGACAAATTCACGAGGGGAAAATTTAGTCAAGTAAAGCTGTGTGCTTGAGGCCAGTCATCTATCACAGATACTGTTTCCGTCAAACATTGCACTCTACCCGATTTAAGTGGTTAATCCCAGTTCTGGAACATAGGATCAAATTTCACGAATCATATCTTGCAGTTGAATTTGCTAGGTACTGTGAAAAGCTCGGGAGTTTTCGACAGAAATTCCAGGCAATTTAAATATTGGACCTAAAGATGCTTATGGTCAAGTA